TGTTTTTTGCCCCGGTGCCCTTGATGTAAAATACAAATCAGCCTTCATAAAATTTCTTATCATAGATATTGTACATGTATTAGCACAGTTATATTCTCTTTCAAATTGACCTGTTATAAATAATGGCACAACCAATAACTGTCTTAGCCCTTTTTAGTAAATAATTATACAATAATAATTATATAAATTGTTATTTTAATTAAGACTATGAGTATGTAAGGTTTTTTTTTCTTATTTATTAATTAAGAATTAATTAATTATCTGTTAATTTAAAAATCTAAAATATCTGTCACAGTTTAGAACTGTTCACTATTTAGGGGAGAAAATGTGTAAGGGACCAGATAGCTCAATCGCTACAGCCGCGGTACATTATTCTGTGGGTCACAGGTTTGAGTTCTGGTCAAGCTGAAAGTTTTTTCTCATCCTGTTACTGCAAATAACCATGAGTTTAATTCACTATGCTCTGTAAACATCAGAAATTCAAAGTACATGAATCAATATAGTGGGGAAAAAGGTTTAGGTTTAGAACTGTTTCATTATTAAAGAGAAAATGTGTAGCCGGCCGGATAGGCTCAGTTGGTCTTCTGAAAGTCATGGGTTCGAGTCATGATCAGGCAGTTTCAGTCAGGGTTTAGAAGTGGTGTTTTTCAACTGACACATGTTTGATTCATTTAATAGATTGCATTTAATTTTGAAATGGACAAAGGCAGTTTTGCTTGATACTTTTAAATCTACAAAAAGCATTTGGTACAGTTGATCACACTAAACTGCACATGAAGAAGTTCTTTTTTCGTTCCTTCTTCATCTCTTCAAGCATCTGCCATATGTAATGACATTCTTTGCATGGTTCAAGTTCTTATCTATGATAGCAGCTGGTGAATGTGGCTGGTACTCCTTCTCTCTGAATACCTATGGTGTCCCCCTGATGTTCATTTTAGGTCCTCTTTTATGTTTGACATGTCTGCAACCATAAGCAATATTGAGCTTTTATTTATATGCACAGGCACAAGTATCAGACCTGGGAAGAAAAAAATATTACCAGATTGATAAAAAAAACCTGTGTTCATCTTAAAAGTGTCACAAACCAAAAAAAATGTAAATGATGACCCCCTTTAAAAATATACTTTAAGTTAATAGTATATTTTTAAAGGGGGTCATTATTTACATTTTTTTTTTGATTTTTGACACTTTTAAGATGAACACAGATTTTTTATTAATCTGGTCATATTTTTTCTTCCCAGGTGTGATACTTGTGCCTGTCATTATATGATGATGACTCAGGTATCCTTGTATCTGGTAAAGTAAATCTTAAGATTGGTTTATTGACTATAAATTGTCTTTGCATCTTGGCAAGACAGAGTCTATTCTTTTTGGTTTAAGTTTCAACATAAACTGGGCCAAGCCTCCAGGTTACATGAAATGGTACTGCCATAAAGTACACATCTTTTGTTAAGTATTTAGGTGCAAACCTGGATCAAATTCTTTTGGCGTCGCCCTTTGATGCTTTGCATCAATGCTTTTCTTGTGCATTTTATTGGGAGGCGAGATTTCGGCAGTGACACTTTAGATTAGAGACTATATTATTAATGTTGTACCTTTAAGTCAGCATCTATTCTTATTATTGCAACCTGTAGGCTGCTATTTAATGTCGTCTCTTGTGTATGTTCAACTGTCGAGGAATAGCTGTCGGAATTTTATAGTCTGGGCGTTGCAAAAATGTTATTTCTTTCCTCCAGATCGTTTTTGTCTAATAATGATAACTCATTTTCAGAATGTTGAGTGTTTAATGCAACAGTTTCTTATATAACTTAGTGAAAAAATTAGACACATGATAATGAATCTTTCAAAGAAATGAAGAAATATTTAACATTTAATTTTATAAAAAATTTTAGGCTATGAAATATAACCAAAAAGGTTGGCATACATAGAAAGCTGTAACTTCTGCTTTAAAAGAAATGAAGTACTGTTAAGTCTGCTGTTTTGCAAACTCGTCATTGGGTAATTTCAAAATTGCTTTTTGAAACAACCAATCAAATATGTTCACATTTTAGACTGCTTAAAGACAGTACTAAAATTAAAAGGAAAAGAAAAACTTCTGGAAATTTTCTACAGTTGCACAATCATAATCATTTGTTTTGTTTTTCTTGAAAAAGAAAGGGAAATTAATTATATTCTATCTTGCAAAAAGCAATTATTTTCGTGTTTAACTTGTATTAACTAGAAAGACAAAACACTACTTCCATTAATTTTACAAATTTTGTTTAAAAAAAAATCTGAGGCTTGATTTTTGTTGTAAAAAGCAGATGTAATGTCAGAATTTTGACACTTCTAAAGGTTTTATGACAAGTTAAAAGCATGTTGAAATGAAGATTTTAAAGAGCAAAAGAAAAGAAAGTTAGAGAAAAGACTGTTGTTTTGCTTAGACCACCATTATAGAAAAAGCCGAAGTCTGAAAATTAAACATATCTACGGAACTAATTGTTTCAAAATTGATAACTTCATTAGTGTTGATTTCTAGGGACTAGTTGAAAAATCAAAGGGCTGCAACCTCTGTGGTATTTTCTGATCTTTGCAATCTAAATCATACTGACTATCTGTATGTATTTTCATGTATAAGTTTATTTTTATATACTATAATTAATCTTACGCAGCGACTGCGTCTATAACAGTTTGAGATTGATACATATGGAATTTTGCATGACTAGAGTTGCATCAAATATTATGACAGCCACACTTTATCCTTGCATATCGTGGCTACTTCCTTAAAAAAGACACTTAAAAAAAAAGTTGCCTCGACTAGGATTTGAACCTTTGGCCTCTCACACCCTAAACGAGCGCGCTACCTCTGCACCACGGTGAAGTAATACATATGTAGCTTGAATAAAAACAAATACATTGTAATTCTAATTTGAGAATTTCCATTTCGTGTTTGTAATCCTTACTAATTTTGAGGTATTTTGTTCACGTTTAACACTGATGAAAATCATAAAATTTACCGAAAATCTTCTCGACAAAACAGTACGACATGTATATATTCCACTACTCGACAGTCAGATTTATTTGTGTACTACGCTCTGGAGTATTCGGTAATCGACATAGCTAAAAATAGCATTTTCATTGATTAAGCTTTACGGAAATAGCCGAACATTTTTCATTGGGTAAAAAAGATATTCATCTGCGAAATTTGTGATTGTAACCTCATATTTCTATTGACTACTCTAAACGTTTAATGCACTGTAATTCGTTAAATGCCTACAGTAAAAATTATTCTTTCTTTTAAATTGCTGGTTTTTAAGCAGTTCTGAGTGAGAACTACTTTGCGTTGTTAGGTCTGTAAGGAAATTTTGTGTTAGACCGTGGATGTTAGCTATGTATTTACTGATCTTGCGATCAGAAAATAAAAAATGTAATATTGTAATTGTTTTAATATCTAATTTGATTAAAGAAATAAAAAAGAACATGCATTTTAAAGGTCTATGGTTAGTTAGTATTGGAACTCCATTGTATCCAACTTCTTGGCAATGTCCTTAAATACATAGCAATTCGAAGCAACTTAAACTTCAAAGTGGTATATATTTTTTGGGCGAAAATCCAGTAAGCTAAAAGTTTTCAGATTCTAAAATTCAGAAGGTGTGTCAAATTCTACCAATGTGCCTGTTTTGTTTTTTGCCTAAAACAATCTTGGGCCTTTCCAGTTTTGGTATTTTGTAAATTTAAGATTTTTTTTAAAGTTTTTGAAGGAATTTTTTGTTTTTCTCTTGTTTTTCACTTGGATTTCAATGCATTTCTTCGATTGTATCTTGGCATCCAGTCCACCAAACCAGCTTTCATGGATAACTAACCAGTAGTAACCAATTTCTCAGCATATAAAAATAACCAACTTCACATCTCACATTATTACCGACTAAAAGGTGAGTGATAAATGACCATTTGTCACAATGCGTCACAGAGAAATTTGGCATCGCAACAGGACCAAACCGGTGACCTCTGGATTACAAACCCCATACTTTCTCTATTATTAGCTAATCAAGCTGACTAAACAAAACTTAAAAGAAAGAGAAAGGTTTTTTTCTTCACAAGATAAAATCAAGCATCAAGAACAAGTTTGTGAACTGACACGTTTGGCAGATGCTATAATTGTTTGTAGTGCACCGAAAGATAATTACGTCAAAGTTACATCTAGCAAGGTTTTATCATAGATGTTATCGTCTCAAATGATTTTCATTACAGACGCAGGTTTTTACATCAATCATGCTTTATTCCTCTTAGGTCTTACGTAATGTTTGCAAGAAATGCATATCAGAGAATAGTTTGTCAGAAGCTGTATAGATAGACAAATGCTGACTTGTCAAATACATGGTAGATAAGAAATTTTTTGCTGTCCTCAGTCTGAATCAATTAATGATTTGTGTTGTCTATAATTAGCACCATTTAACTCTGTACCAGACTAAAGATATTATAGGGACTTTCCAGTCTTGTAATATAGACTAAACCATTTGATGATTTTTAGGGATAGTAATAAGTAAAACTTGTTGGTTCCTGGTATTATCAAGTGCCTTGTATAACAACAGAATGATGACAGTTTGGAGTTGGTCAGTCATCAATTTAAAATATGCCAGGCTTAGCATTATAAAAAGAGGAGTCTGTCTTGGTTTGTTATGTTGCCAAAGGCTCTTTACAAAATATAATATCAGTTTAAAATTGGGAATTGTTTAAGTCACCATAATGTAAAAAGTTTTATTTTAGGGAATTCTGATTTTCTGAAGTTTTGTTTGTTTGTTTTTTCCATTGTTATTTGCAGTCCAATTTTGCAAGAGAAGAGCCATTGTTTCTGCTTCCTTAGGCTAATTTCAAAATGTATAAAACAGCCACGAGCAGATATTGTTTTACCATTAAACTGTCGTTAGGATAAATTAAATAGCTGGGTGGCTGGTAAAAGGGTTTAATTGGAAACTGTCGCCTGTAAAATAGCTTCTATTTGCCATATTTTCTCATTTCAGATTTTTAGAAGTTTTACAGGCTGGATGTGTTCCCGTGTTGCTAAGCAACGGATGGGAGCTACCATTCTCGGAAGTCATCAACTGGAATAAAGCAGCATTATGGGCAGATGAACGGCTTCTGTTTCAGGTGAGTTGAGGCCCCTTTATAATCTAGCCAGCAGGATACTATTCAACTATTCAGTAAACAATGACAGCAAACCAGTCTAAAAATGATGCTCTGCCAATTTGGTTCAATTTAAATCTGTGCAAAGAATGAGCCAATGAGATGCGAGCATGATTGAGACTGGTTTTCAGTCTTAAGTTAATACATTGTTTTATGAATTTGAAGGTTAGAAATTAAGGGAATAAGGGCATTACTTTACTTAATGTATTTGCTTGTTATGGAAATTTTCAGTTGAGGATATATAATGTAGAAAATTACATACATACATGTTTGTAAATGTAGAATTATATCCATTTACCATATATATTTTTTACCCTTATAATTCAGTACTAAATTTATTCTCATTTGACATTTATAATTAACAAGTATAAAAGTCATTGCTGTGCATGTGGAAGGTTTTATTTGCAAAACGTGTGCGAGTTGAATATGGCATATGACTAGGTCACTAGGAATATGTAGAAATATGACTCTTTGCGTGCAGAATTTCATATTGATTATAATAAACATCATTGTTTGACATTTTCTGTTCCAGTAATGCTTATATTATGACAGATGTACATAATAAAACAGAATGTATGGAATTATTCTATGCAGATTCATTGTAAAATAATGTCAACGATTATTCACATTTTATGCTATGTTAAACTGCAGTGACAATGTGCTGAAATTCTAGAGATTTAGCTTTGATTTTGCTTGGTTTAGGGGGCAGAATTTGTTATGGAATGTTATCTCAGGAATAAAATTTCATATAACTTTTAAGCGTCCTGCATTTTTGTTTACTGACAATCCATCTGTAAAACTGTTTTAAATGATTACTAAAGTTGTGTTATGCCATCATTGTTTTTGCCATAAAAGTTTATGATCCTTTTGACTGCATTGTTAAATCAAAACAACACCAACAACACCAGCTTTTCCGGTCATGCATATATGCATTTTGTAGTAGTCCAACTAACTGTATTTATAATAAGTTGAAATATTGAGCTATTTTGCTTATGGAAATTGTCAACCCTCCATGAGAGCTCTGACCTAGATGGGAATTGGATATCAAAATATTTTGACTAAATTGCAGCATTAAAATTGGTTTGGAGTGGCTTATGGTAGCTTATATTGATGGAGGAAAGTGTGTCTTAATGTCCATTCTTTTGGATATGAGCGGGTACCTGAGCACAACCAATTTCAAAAGTTCTGAAAAAAAAAGGCTTGTGTTAAGCTTTGATTTGTTTGTTTTTATTATTGATTGAATTTGATTGATTGATTGATTGATTGATTGATTGATTGATTGTTTGTTTGTTTGTTTGTTTGTTTGTTTGTTTGTTTGTTTGTTTGTTTGTTTGTTTGTTTGTTTGTATATCTATATTTATCTATCCATTTATCTATTTATTTTAATGAATATGCAATCATATTAGCATTGTAAAACATAATTGTGGAAAACAAAAAGAAATAAGAGAATGAATGTAGAAACAGACATGCAGGCTTGTCTGGCACTATAGTACTTGTGGTAAAGGCTAATTCCTTTCAGTTACTAAGACCATGAAAGGGTCAATAAAATTATAAGAATGATGATTTTGTGATGGAAACTATAGTGATTCAGCACCGGCTCCCCTTAGGTATATGAACTAAACCTGGCACAATAAATGGATGTTATAGCAATATCATTTTTTTGTATTTACACAACAAAAACATTAGGCGTGTAAAGATTGGCACCGACTAGCACTATTATGTCATAACTTCAAACAGATCTTTCCATAGATACTGTTTATGAACTACTTGTTCTGTAAATAGATAAATACAATATATTAAATAAGAAACTCTCGATTTTCTCCTAAAATACCATAATCATGCTCTTGGGTTTATACAAGTGCTTTGTCTGCCATTTTGTTTTTAGTTATTTTTCCAAGATGATTCTCTTTAAAGCAGTAATACATCTGTCTGTTTGTCTGTCTGTTTGTTTGTTCATCTGCACTTATTATTCAGGGCTTGCTTGTGATATTGTGCTGGTCTTTAAGCACAGTATGGAGATTTAAACATAAAACTATGTATACTATGTTAACAGATTTTTACTCTATGGCACAGATTTTGATTTGCTTTTTATCTTTCACACTTTGTAGATAGATTTTTCTTTTTGGCATCATAAAATTAGGTATTTAGTAAGTATAGCAATCAAATTATGAATTTTTAGCTCGACTTTTCTATGAAAAGGGGAGCTATCCTACTCGCCCCGGCGTCGGCGTCGGCGTTAGCGTTGGCGTCACACCTTGGTTAAGTTTTTCGTACCACCCCACTTTATTTCAGAAGTATTACAAGTATGGCTTTGAAACTTACCATACTTGTTCACCATCATAACCTCCATCTACAGACAAGAGTACATAACTCTGTCAAGGTTTTTGACAGAATTATGGCCCTTTTTTGACTTAGAAAGTGTATTGAGCTTGGTTAAGTTTTTTGTACCACCTCACTTTATTTCAAAACCATTGGAGGTATTGCTTTGAAACTAACCATACTTGTTTACCATCACGACCTTCATCAACAGACAAGAGGACATAACTCTGTCAAGGTTTTTGACAGAATTATGCCCCTTTTTGACTTAGAAAATACATTGAATATGGGTAAAATCCACTTATTGCCTTAACCCTTTGAGATATTGCTTTGAAACTTTTAATGCTATTTCACATCATTACCCCCATCTGTACGCAAGAGAAGGTAACTCTGTCAAGGATTTGTTTTAAAAATTAAGGCCTTTTATCGACTTAGAATCTTGGTTAAGTTTTTAGTACCAGTCCACTTTTTGACTGAACTGTTTGAGATATTAATTTGAAAGTTGGAATACTTGTTTACCATCATGGTCCCAAAAACATGGGCAGGAGAAGGTAATTCTGTTAAGGATTTTATTTGAATTATGGCCCTTTTTGACTTAGAAACTCAGTTAAGATTTTCATTCTTGTCCACTTGTTGACTTAACCATTTGAGATATTACTTTGGAAGTTGGAGTTCTTATGTGCCATCATGAGACCTATCTGTAAGCAAGAGAAGATAACTCTGTGAAAATGTTTCTTGATTTGTACTTAGAAATTCCTAGTTAAAGTCTTGTGTGCCCTTAACTGTCAAAGTTTTGTTTTATAGGCAAGCACTAAAAAAGTCGAGCGCGCTGTCCTTCTGACAGCTCTTGTTTAATTTTGGACTCCATCAAGTGGAAAAAAGACATTTTCAAGCAATTTCAACCTTTGATTTGTACAACAAATACTGCAGCAGTGCCAAGTTATTCCTGAAATAATACTATGAAAATGGCACTTAAAAGGTCGTACTCCACCTCCACCATCCAAGCTGGAAAGTCATCATATGACCTTTAGGGCAACTTGAATTCAAAACAACAAAAACAAACAATCTAAAAGCACAGGTGGCAGTATCAGTGTTTGGACACCCAGTGACTGCTGAACCCCTACTACAACCCTGAAAAAAACACTACAGGCTTACTATAAGGTACCAAATATGAAACATAAATTTTCAGCTGCTTTGGCCGTCCAATTGTCACAGTGGCTTGACGGACTGTTTACGGCCATAACGAGGCTCTGCCAATTAACAGTTACCCTCAAGCTAGATATTCCGGTCTGTACTGGCAGCCAGTGTAACATTCTTATATTCATCAATGATATATGTAGGGAATCTCAAGTAGTGGTGTGGGTGGGGTAAATGCCAGCGTGGTTCTTGACTTTAAGTACCTTAAATCTCTTAGTTTTATTTTAATCTTTCTTTATTTTCACTAGAACAAGTTTAATTGTTGCCAGTCAGATCCGTTTATTTTCACAATAAGCAAAAAGCATTCTCATAAAATTATGCGTCAACATGTGTAATAGATTAATTTTATGTTGCTGCAACTTAAAAAAAAAAAGAAAACTGAATGACTCTACATTTTAGGAGACTAAAAAGCAGTACATATTTATAAACTATGTGCACTTGTAGTGTTGCAGGAAATGTCTGTTACATCACTTAGCCCACAATAAAATTTCCTTGAAATGTGCTATAATTTGCTGCAAGAGCAGGATTGCGAAATTGAGACTTGTAATCATGATCTGAGAATTTTAGATGTTCAAATCATGATTTTAAATTTGAATAAAGAGAAACATTTATCTTATCTCTTGATTTAATAATACACTTATACGTTGGAATGTTGTCTAGGCATGTTTGGGGTAGCCACAACCCCAATCTAGCTGAATTTATATTTCTATTAAAATTTGGAACCGTCTGGTAATGTTAGATTGTTTCAATTTCAGTATAAAAATGAGGAGGCTTGGCTTGACTTCAAATTATAGACTAAGGTCAAGGTCACATTTAGAGGTCTTAGGCCAGGTACTACATGAATGCCCCTTTGGCATCTAGATTTTATGAAATGATATGACCCTATGATATGATTGGCCCTAAGTGTCCACTTTTGTATTACAATCTTTGAGAGGATAGTAAGGTGAAATATTATAAGCCTTAAAGACAATTGGAAACTATGGTATAATTTTTCTGTGGAGAAATAATACAAAACAGGCTGAA